GAAATGCCTTGAGCCATTCCCAACAGATGACTACATGTGTGACTCAACCCTGTTGAGTCCCCAAATCTCATCAACCTTTGGATGAAACTCTTGAAATTATGACATGCTGGAATTGGTCTCCGGCAGTTTGGTCTGTGGTTTTGGCTTGGACAATGTTTTACATTAAAATTAGTTATCAAATAAACACAATGAAATTTTAAATATATATAGTTGACTTAATTTTTGTCTTAATTTATATATATTTAAAGTTTATATAGCATTCTTAGTCTGTAGACCATACACAAATAGGCAGCAAGGATGGCAATCCCTGTTTGAGAGGCTTGAATCTTGAGGGGTGTTTCAGAGGAAGGCGGTGAGTCCCCCTTAATCACAGTGGCCCCGGGCCTGGTGGGGTTTCTCTACTAGCACCCTCCTCACAGAACCCACTCTTCCCTGTGGAAGCTGCTCGGTAGGCCCTGCTGGGGACAGCAGCTCTGCAATGAGACCCCAGAGCGAGGGACTTGTGTAGATCTGAGGAGCGGGCCCTGCGGGACAGTCCCTGGCTCCTGGCTCCTCCTCCAGGCCCTGACCAGGGAAGCAGAGAGCCCTCCCGCAGACACTCATACCAAACACTGGTGCGGGCCAGCCACAGATCTCCCTTCTCTTCTGGGAAAACACAGGCCTCCTCGCACTCCAGCTGAGCAGCTCTGAATCTGCTCAGGAGCACGAATTTCAGAGCCAGTAAGACTGCCAGACGCTGTCTTGGGGGACTTGGTCAGGCCAGCTAACCTGTTGTTTCCTCACTTGTAAAAGGAGGTAGTCGTGCGAATTCAGTTCCTCACACAGTACCTGCTGCTGTTACCACTGTGTCCCTGTCCCTCGTGGTGAGGTGGTGAGGGGCGTGAAGGTGGCTGTATGCAGCAGGCGGCAGTTCCCTGAGGTGTCTCCTCATCTCTAACGTGAATAGACCCAGATGTTCAAGCACTGGCCATGGATCCAGGGTGAGGAAGTACCCACTTCCTCTTTCCTGACCTGAGCCGGAGCAGGAGGGTCTGGGGAATTCTTATTCTGTACGGGGCCTGCCTCTGACTCTGCCTGTATCGTTTCCCTGACCTTTTGAGTGAGGGCAGACATGGTTTTTCCCCTGCACTGAACCTGACTCCCAGGCCCCAGTCCTTTCCTTTGTGTCTTCTGGGCAGCACGGGCTCCACCCTGCATATCTTCCCAGAAGCTCATTCTAGATCAAGAGTTGGTGGACTATGGCCCGTGACCACACTGGCCCCTGACAGTTTCTGTAAGTCATGTTCGATTAGAATGCAGCTGCAGCCACTCTTTACGTCTGTGGCTGCTTTTTGCCACAGTGGTGGAGCTGAGTCCGCGACAGAGTCTGAAACATTCGCCACGCTGTCCCTCCCCAGTCCTCACAATGAATATTTATCACTGATAAAGTGGCTGACACTCAACAACACACCTACTGTGTGCCAGGCTTTCCTACTAAGTGCTTTCAGGATATTTACCAATTCCAGCCTAGGATAACCCAAGGAAAGAGGTACGGTTACTATTTCCGCATTCTGTAGATGGGGGAATCAAACACTGGAGGGGCTGAGGGCTTCCCCAGGATACCCAGCAAGTAAGTTCATGTGTGAGGGGAGGGGCCACTTTCAGACCCATCTGTCGAGCCCTAGACCAGTGATGGCAAACCTATGATACGCGTGTCAGAGGTGACATGTGAACTCATTTTTTTGGTTGATTTTTCTTTGTTAAATGGCATTTAAATATATAAAATAAATATAAAAAATATGTCTTTGTTTTACTATGGTTGCAAATATCAAAAAATTTCTATATGTGACACAGCACCGGAGTTAAGTTAGGGTTTTTCAAAATGCTGACACGCCGAGCTCAAAAGGTTCGCCGTCACTGCCCTAGACTCTGTGCTCCTTGTGATACACATCCTGCCTGGTGCAGCCCTGGACATGCTGTTGAAACAGTAGCTTCTCATTCCATTTGTTTTAAGACAGGAAACTTCTTTCAGCTCCTTCATTTCAAATCTTAAAAGCACAGCGCAGTCGGTAATTGTTCTTTATCATCTGGCGGCATACTTAATGCGCTCACCTCCTTTAATTGAATGGGTAATTCAGGATTGATCGGGCACTCCAGCAACACCATTGTGTGCTCGGTGAGCAGAGAAGAGGGTGGAAAGCTTGTCAAGAGCATTTCTGAAAACAGGAGCTGCAGGAGCTGTTCTGTCAGGAAGAGCTGGCTCTATGAAGGGGACTCCTCCCAGGCTTCATGGCAGCAGTGCTCCCCACAACTTCTCAAAGAGCCCAGGGGTTCCCTTTCTGGAGGTCTAGGGACACGACCCTGAAAGCAAAATCGGGATGCTTTAACCACAGGAGGGGGAGTGGACAGACGAGGGAGGGGAGTGGGAATATAACAACAGGAGTGGACAGATGGGACGGGGGGTATAACAACAGAAAAGATAAGAAAAATTCCTCCTGCTATTATTGCCCCAGGACCTGAAATTCTGTGTGTGTGTGTGTGTGTGTGTGTGTGTGCGCGCGCGCGCGCAATCAGTGCATTTTTTTTTTAAGATTTTTTAAAATTGATTTTAGAGAGGAAGGGAGTGGGAGAGAGAGATAGAAACATCAATGATGAGAGAATCATTAATCGGATTCCTCCTGCACTCCCCACACTGGAGATAGAGCCCGCAAACCAGGCATGTGCCCTGACTGGGAATCAAACTTTGACTCCTGTTTCAACCACTGAGCCACACCTGCCAGGCCTTATTTGTTCTTTTGTCCCTTTATTCGTTCATTAAATACACTCATTACTGTGCTAGGTGCTGAGTATATGCCAATCAGCAAAAGCCTCATCCTTTGCCTGCATGGAAACTCCGGCAGAGCACCCCAGAAGTTAGATCCTAGTGAGAAGGATGCTATGGATTGAGACTCCAGGCACTATTAGATGGATGACATGCCATTGGCACCAGGCTAAGATGACTGATGTTTCATCTCATAATAGGGAGGGCTCACCAGTGCAATCCAAACGACCCAAAATCTGTCGGCAGAAACTGTCTACCAGGACGATGCAGGGACGGACCACACCAGCGCTGGTCCTTCTTAGGTAATGTTGGGTTGAACTATGTGAAAGTGCCATTTTTGCAGGTCAGAAGGAGCAGCTGTCGGCCTTCCATGTGGGTCACCTAACATACACCTTTACTTAGGGACCAGGCTGGTCTCACAGGCAGGCGGCACCACTATTTCTTGCAGGAGGCATGCTGAGCTCTGCTCACATCCGTCTGGGTGGCTTGCACTCTTGAACTTCCTGAGCGCAGCCTCCTCTCCCAACTTCCCATATACTTATATTCCCTCCTTCTAGCATCATGCTTCTGTGGTCTCTTTAGAACTCAGATTCTCTCTGCCTGGATTGTCTCCCCCGCTCCTCCCCTCCCCACCTGCACTCCAAGATCCAACCAGTGTCTCCTTGCCTGGCTAGATGTCACCTCACCCGCTTCCCTGTCCCCATGACATTGTTTGGACCTGCCTCATAGCATTATCCATGGTTAGTCTTAAGTGGCACTGACTTGGGCTTGTGCCAGGCAAGCAAGCAGGCTCACCAAGTCATGGCAAGTCGTGTGCCCATTCTTGATTCACTTGCTGTGGCCAAGGAGAGAGGGAATGAGCTGATGGGCTTAGGCCTGGGCCATAGATGCCATTCAGAGCGCACAGTGTGAGACACGGGAAGACGGTGGCTCCTCAGAGCAGTCAGGCCACAGTAGCCAAGGAAGGTGCCACATACACCAGGTGGCTCGAAGCCACCCAGGCCCAGTACAGGCCGGCGAGTGGGCTTTGTGTGCTGCGCCGGGGAGCCTGGGCATTTCCCAGAACATGATGAGGAGCTTGCAGTCTTTCACAGAAGTGACACATGATTGGTGATTTAGGCCAGTCGTTGTGGCAGTAGGGAAGGTGGGGTTGATTAGGGGCTCCTTGAGGGTCTGGGGAAAATGTTGAGGAAGGACTGAGCTCAGGAGTGGAGAAGAGGGAACCGGTCCAGAACCCAAGAGAAGGTAGAGTTGCTTGGACTGAGAGGCCCATGGCCCCGGGAGAAAACTGAGTGGGGCCATACTGAGCAGCCCAGGTGGGGCCTTGTCCTGGGACATAACAAGGCCTTTCATCATGATTTCAAACTGGATACTTACCTTCCACAGACCAGGGAGAAAGTTTTCCCACTGCCAAAGCAGTAGCTCTCCCAGAGTACTCACTGCTATTTTTATTTATTCAACAACCCACTAGTGGCCCCCAAACTCTTGATTTCTGTCCTCATTATTCTTCACCTCACTCCCCTAAAGTGCACGTGAAGTTCATAAACACCACTTCAGGGCTGGGAGAAAGCGGAGGTCCTGGGTCTAGATTTCATTGCCTTTGACAGCAGTGTTCTTGGTGGGGGGCTCGAGCCTCTGGTTAGGCATGTTGGTAACTAATCACTGAGTAGCAGCCGCCTCCTGTGGCCCATCATTTAATGCCCTGGGGTGGCCCAGTGTGCATGGTGACCTGTGACCCACTCTGTCTTACCAACAGAAGAGATTCTATGGAGCAGCCTTTTGGCATCCGGACAAATAGGAAAGGCCCCCACGCAGGGTTGCAGTGCTCCAAGAAACAGATGGTTTCAAACCACCTGGCCTTGCTGGTGCCTCACTCTTCCTGTCCTAAAACAAGGGGAAATGCACCTGACCATGACCTTGCACCGGCGGCGTTAGCCGGACAGGTCCTTTGGATTCTGTTCTGGAAAAGGCCAGTTCCAGCTGTTTGGCTTTGGGCCAGTGATTGAGCCTCTCTGAACATCAGTTTTGTCATCTCTAGGTTAGGCATGTTTGTACCCACTTCATCAGATTGTTGTGAGGCTGAAATGAGATACAGCTTTAAGGTGGGTTGTTGAATAAATAACAGCTTTAAGGTGCTTAGTGCAAATTCTAGTCATGTGACCCTCGAAATCTCAAGACTTGTTGAGGGTTGTTGAAGAGCTGGCTCTATGAAGGGGACTCCTCCCAGGCTTTATGGCAGCAGTGCTCCCCACAACTTCTCAAAGAGCCTCCTCTGAGTCTCAGTGTGCTTTTCTCTTTCCTTCTAGTTGTAGAATTTCCACTCAGCCAGCCTTCCTGTGGTTCTGGGTGATGTCCGTTCCATCTTTTAGTTGTATTTTTGAAGTGGTTGTTCGAGGCAGCAAACTCCGGTGTTTACCTATGCCGCCATCTTGGTTTCTTCGGGTTGTTGAATAAATAAAACTTTAAGGTACTTAGTGCAAGTTCTAGTCATGTGACCCTGGACTTCTCTGATTCCGATCATGTCCTTCAGTGACTTCCCCGGGAGTAAGGTTGCCCTGAGGGAACACTTGTCAGCGCCTGGAGGTGGTTGTGTTTGTCACAACTGGAAGCTGCTGTTGGCATCTGGGGGTAGAGGCCAGAGATGCTGCTAACTGTCCTGCCGTGCACAGCACAGCCCACAACAGAGCTGTCTGACCCCAGATGTCAGTCCGGCTGAGGTTGAGAAGCTCTGATGTAGAAAATGCTTAGCACAGTGCTTGGCGCTGAGCATGTTTTCAGTAAAGGGTGGCTGGAATGTGGATGCTGTGTGCCAGGGCCTGTGCTGATGTTAGAGAGCCAGAGATCCAAGACACATAGCCCCCTGCTGGTGGTGGTAACGTATCAGACCTTAGCGGAGAGCCCCCTACCCAAGCCTGGTGGCAGGCGGCGGGGGAGGGTGGAAGCGAGGCGGGGTGAAAGGGTGGCAGTATCACAATGTGGAGGAGCTGAGACTTGAACTTCCCATGAATCCTTTCCTTGCCTCCATTTGGCCTGGTTGATGTCAGAGCGGGGCCACAGCCCTAGGGACAGGGGTGTAGAGACAAGGTGGCCTGCCCGTGTGACTCCCAGACCCCTCAGATGTCAGTCACATGGGCCTGTGGGAATGAGGAGAGGGGCCAGGTGGTGAGGCTGTGAGCAGACATGGGGCTCCAGGGCGGGAACTGTCACCTCTGCTCCCCTCTGTGATCGATCGCAGCTCTGTCCTTTCAGAGTTGGGGTTTAAAATAAAATCGCACCTTGTTCTGACTGTAGCTGTCACTTCTTTTGTTACTTTTGAGCTCTTTGTTAGTAAGATGCATAATTTAGGGCTTGGAGGTGGCCTTCATTTTGGCAAGTTGCTAAGCACCCACCTTCTCGAGGCACAGGGACCCTGGATGCAGACAAGAATCTTAGCGAGACCTGGGGCCATCTCACCTACTGGCAGCACGTGTCTCCTTCCACCCTCCACCTCCCACCTCCTGTGCAGGCATAGACACCAGAGTGCAAATGCAGCATTTCCACAGTCCAGCGACCCACAGAGTCTCTTAAACAGGCATGTTAAACATATGGCTCTCCCCTGACCAGGTTCATGGCAGACATAGCTAATCAATCACACCTTTCTTTAGTGAGCCCAGACCCATTCTCAGAATCCTGCTCCACACCCACCACCTTCCCCTGCCCCACACCCACCACCTTCCCCTGCCCCACACCCACCACCTTCCCCTGCCCCACACCCACCACCTTCCCCAGAGCCGCCAGTAGTGGACTAGAGTAGACAAGCGACGCTAGACCTGCAGGTCAACCATGCTGTTCTGAATCCTCACTGGCTGTGTGGCCCTGGGCACATCATATGACCCTTCCAAGTTTGTTTCCTCTGCTGCAGAAGGGGATAGTAATACCTACTTTGCATGTTATGAACATTAGAGAGGTGAAAATATATAAAGTGCCTAGCAGAGTCCCGAGTGTATAGTCAGTGCTCAATAACTTTTAATTGCCTTCCTGTTTGCATATAACTTATTCTTCAAAGACTGCAATAGGACTTGTGGTCCATTTTATTTGCACCTGGTACTGTCGTTAATCTTTTCAGCCTCATTTTTTCTCAATCCTCAATTGTTGTGGGCATTGAGAGAACAGGAATGGGGTTTTAGGATTCTTTTAGTCCACTGGCCTTCTGTCAAGATATGGTAGTTGGATATATAGGAATGTGGCAATGGTTGCTAGTTGCTTATCCAAAACATTCATTTCTCACTATATCTTAGTTACAGAACCCTGGGCAGTGTACCTAAGTGGAAAATACCAAATCTCCCAGCTTCACTTGAAGCTACATATGGCCATGTGACTAAAATCGGGCCAGTGAGATAAGGGCAGATATGTTGGGTATGGCTTCTCAGAACATACCTCATGTGAGTGGTGCATACCTTGCCCTTCTCCTCTTTCTCTGTCCTGTTGCCTAGAATTCAGACATGATGGCTGAAATGCCAGCAGCCATCTTGGTCCATGGTGTGGCTTTGAGGAAGACCGCTGTGCAGTGAGATTGGTCCCTGTTGACTTTGTGGAGTAGCCATGCCAATCCTGGACTGCCTCCTTCCAAACTGCTGCATGTGAGAAAATAAACCCCCAATGACTGGACCCTGGTGTTCTGGAGCCAAATGCAATTCTTAACTGCTGCCAACAGTTCTCTGAAAGAGGCCGAGAGAACTGCATGCCCAGAACCCTAGAGCTGGTGAGAGCACGTGGCATTTAGGGACCTGAAGTTCCTTTCCTTTAGTCAACAGCTATTTATGAATTTCCGCAAGTACTGGTGCTGCTGGGCGGTATGTCTCATTGCTGAGTTAAAAGGGAAAGTAGCCAGAGAAGATTAGTTTTTAATCCTCACCCGAGGCCATACTTACCTGAGAGGAAGGGAGAGGAAGAGAAACATCGACTGATTGCCTCCGTATGTGCCCCAACTGGGGATTGAACCTGCAACCCAGTTATGTCCCTGCTGAGAATTGGACTGGCACCCTTCCGGTGCACCCACCTGAGCCACACGAGCAGGTCCAGAGAAGAATCTGAGGAGAGAGATGAGCAAGGAAAAATCATTCTGTGCCCTTTAAGCCGTGTCTGGGAATTTAGACTTAAACTCGAGTGTCCATTAGAGGACATCAGTTTGTGCTTTGGAACCACCGCTCTGGCTGTGGTATGGAGAAGGGAGAGTCCTGGCTTCACCCATGCTGACAAATGTTTCTTCTTTCTCCTGGAAGACTTGAGCCCGTCAGCCAGCTCTGAGATCCCTTTTCACACCAGCGTTCTGAGTCTTACTTGGGCGACCACTCATATTTCTGGCGTTTTCTATAACACCCACAGTCCTTGGCATCATGGGCTGCGCCTTCTGGACCGTGGCTCTCTCCCAGTTTAAGGCCTTATCATTGAGAACTTCCTCCATTCCTGGTCAGCCACAGGCCAAGCAAACAGTGGGAGAGTTTGGCCAACATCCGCTGTGTCTGTAACCTGTAGGTGGTGGTGGCTACCTGCTGCGCTGTGGCTGTCAGTGCCATCGCGACCAGAAGTCCTCTTCCCTCCACATTAGCCTGTGTTCCTATCTCTTCCCTCCCTGAGTTTTGGATCCAGGTCCTTATCTCTTTCTCTTTTATCTTACATGCTACCCTTTTGACCTCCCCAGTTCCACTGCTGTGAATGTCCTATATCTTCTTTACAGAGTCTTTATTCACACAGGGGGCTGGTGGGGTTTCACACAGAAGTTTTACACCCAGACCTTGGTCCTGCCTGTCAAAGGTAGCTTTGCTCCCTGGCAGTCACCAACAAGAATATGTGTATTTATGTGTACACAGGTGACTGGATGCAGTGGATGAGCAATGTGCCTGCCTGCCCTCCCTCCTGTGTGCCTTTTTCTTTATTTCCTTCTCTTTTTTCTGTTGATCCATTCATTCAAAGATCCAATCCTATCCATCTATCTACCCACCCACCCAGCACCCACTGAGCACCTCTAGGCACTGGGGCTTCCCAGGAGCATCTCACCCATGGGTTCTTGCCCTCGGATATTTACCTCCTGGTACAGGTAGAAAGACTTGTAAAAGGCACCAATGCAGGTGAATGTTCAGGTGTTATTTATTCATTCACTGAGCAGTATTTATTGGGCATCTGTTATTTTCCAGGTACCAGTCTGGGGACTGGAGCATAGTGAATAAGAATTGTGGAGTTGACATGCTAGCTGAGAGAAGACAGGGAGCAGTCAATAAATAAATATGTAAGAAATTTTCTGATTATGCAAAATGCTAGGAAGAAACATAGGGGGTAGTATGGTAGAGGGCTATGTGGGGTTGGGATATGACAAAGTTTCCACAGAGCCCAGTAGGAAATCTTTGGGGCGGGCAGCAGGAACCAAGTGAACTGTCTTGGGAAATGTGTGGGGTTTTGTCAGGCAGATGGATGAGGGCACGGCATTACAGGCAGAGGGTCTGGCATAGAAAAGACCACACCCAGTGGAGCACTTGGGTGGGGCAGGGACAGGGGTGCACTCAGGGGTCTCTGGCAATGTGGCCCTGGCTACAAGGTGGAATGTGAGAGGGGCTGGGGCTGCCGAGGCAGCAGGGAGGAGATAGGGAGGCCTGTGTGCTTTGTCAAGGACTGTGGACTTGATCTTCTCCTCTGGGTGCTTGCAGGTTTGGGTTTGTGGTGACCTAGTGCTCCACTAACGTGATTCAGATCCACCCTAACACCCTCCTCGCTTTGGCTGGAGCTGCTCAGCCTTCATCTCTTATGCACATCAGATCTACACATAGAATTTGGCTTGAAAAGGGGCTTGGAAGTAAAAAGGGTGCTTGAAAGCAGAGAGTGGGCGTGGGGA